ATCAGCCCATTCGCTAATTAAATCCAGATCCCGTTGAAGCCTCTCTGCTGCTAGATTAGTATCTGCTACCCCGCCCACCTTAGTGTCGTCTGCAAATGTAACCAGTTTACTGTATGTATTCGTGTCAATATCATTAATGTAAATTAGGAACAATAGTGGTCCTAAAATTGAACCCTGCGGTACCCCACTATAAATTGAATTGGCAAATCATGCTGACTTAGGCTGGCAATAAATGTCAACTGTAGGTTTGATAGTTGTTTAGAAGTAGGCAGAAATGCAAAAGTTGTCACTGTAGCGCCCCCATCAGTCAGGGTATGTAGAGAAATGTAGCATCCAGATTTAGTGCATTGATGATTGCTAAACCTGTCAAATAGATGCTTGATATTGATTGGCTAATTATGGCCACCATTTTATGACTTATGACTGCCATACTAAGGGTATGACCTCAGGCTTTGCCATAGTAGACATGTGCCGAATTTCACTTGGATTGGCCAAGCAGTTCAGGAGATATTCGAAGTAGGTATTTGTAGCGCCCCCTATTGACGAAATGCAGCCTGCCTTGTACGGTGTCCCCAGAATGGTGCTGGGATTTCCAATTTGGTTAAGGTAGGCCAAGGTATGGCCAAGTTATAGCAGTCAGACTAAAATGGGCGGAATTTAGGTGGAGTTTTAGTGGCTAGTGGTCGTACGATAGACAAATGTCAGACATTTTTCAATAACTTTTGATCAGCTCAGAGGACTGATTGGTTTGACACCGCATTTGTCTGTTTGGTCGGATGGGGTAGGACTTTAAGGCAGAAGTAGGATTGACAAATCATGCAAATTAGCAAAGAAGTAGGCGGAGCTTCATAGTCCAAATGGAATGTTGGTAGGGTATGGCTGGCTGTATCTGCAGAAAAAAAAATCGACTGTAGGACCAACAGCATAGGAGATATTGGCCAAAATGTATGACTGACTTGGGTCAGATAGTCTGAGTAGTGGGTAGGAATTGGCATCTTTCTACCAAGTCTGGTCGGTCTAGCTCTTACGGTTTAGGCTGCACATTCAGTTTTGGGGAAGAAAAATAAGGACAAATCCTAAGAAATAAAATAAGGGTCCATTACACTACGTGCTTTGGACCCTTAATAATTTCAGAAAATGGATGGCTGGATGAATACTCAATATATTTATAAATAAATATATGTTTTGCATTTTTATAGTAGGTAGATCATTTTGACTTGGTCATTTATAAGTAGCTCGCAAGCTGAAAAAGTGTGGGCACCCCTGACTTAATGAAAGTATGAAGGAGTGCAATTTCTCTATTCCTCTCAGGGTCCATATGTACCATATTGAACTCTGTGTCTAATCAACCAAAGGAAACATTTTACTTCTATCAGAATGAGCACTACTTGTGCCTGTGTCTGAAATTATTTCCCTATAATATGGTTAATGATTTCATTGATTATTCAGCTGCTAAATAATTAGTATTGATTATATATAAATTGCTTAATAGCAGTACTTCTATTCCATCTAACTTGCTAGTCCAACAACTAACACCTGAAAATACAAACACCAGAGTATCTTTTCAAACACTAATACTACCTTTGCTCTTTATGCAAAATAATATTATAATATTTAGGCAGAGACGACAGAGAACAACCACGTGAAAACATTGTTGACAGCCCCACCTTGTGGTGAAGTCTAGTCAATTCAAGTCGAACTGAATCCTATTACAAAACTGAAAACCAATCGATTTTTTTAAATAGTTTAGATAAACTTGGAAAAAAAGAGATGCACCAACCGAATTTTGCATATTTTTTAATAAGCAACTTTATTATATCAATAAAAATATATTTTTATATATCATATATTTAATTCACAAATTCACACAATATATTCAATTAGCTGCTTAACGACAGGTAACAGAAAAAACGATGTCTTTGTATTTGTCTATAAACTGGTTAAATATGGCATCTTTTCGAAAGTAATGTTTATATGGTTCTGAACTCATCAAAATGTATTGAATTCCCCATTAAAATGGAGTATTGATTAAAATGCAATATCAAAGCAGAAATATACTTTATATGATGCTTGTAATCGTACAGTTAAATCTATATGTGGAAGTTCGATGAAATAATGAAAGAAACATATGACCACACGTTTGGCTCCTTCCTCAATAGCGACATATTTTCTTTAACACCTACACACTGTTTTCCACGCGCTTGTGTCACACACACTGGATTCATGCACCACAGACGTGCAAATGCAACTTCCCATGTAACCCACTGGTGACAGACCACCTGTTAGACAATGATCATATTCACTCCATAGAGTGCAGGACCACATTTAATTTCCTCCCGGCTGAATAGTCTGATACTCCCCTTCCTTCCCCTCTGCCTTGGACAGCTTCAGTGCCTCATACCCTGCGCCTTGTTCTCCTGCTGGGCCGAGGGTGTGGTACACTCCTGCATCCTCCTCTGCCTTAGATGTCTTCAGGGCCTCGTATCCCCCTTCTGCCCCCTTGCCTCCTTCCCCCTTAAGAGTCTGGTACTCATTTTTCCTCGAATCATCTTGAGAAACCTTCAGGCCCTCATAGCCACCCTGCTCTCCGGTATCTGAGACCTCCGCTGTTGTGACTTTGTCTGCATCCGGCCCCTTCAGTGTGTCGTACTCTCCACTCCTCTCTCCTCTTTTTCCTCCCTTGAGCTCCTCATAACCTCCTTCCCCCTTGTCGGATTTCACAGCATCTAGTGGCACCTCCTGGTACAATGCCTCGGCTAAAATTGAGAGAGAATGGCTAAAAACTGAATCAATTCCGAGAAGCACAGTAAGCAGATGAACAACTACAGATAATTATAAAGAAGGGTATTTAATTAAATAAGTCAGTTGAATTTGACTGCTGTTGAGTAGATAAGCATAGAAAGGTGGTGATAAATCAAAGCTGTTACAATGAAACAAAATAAAGACTTACACTCTTGCTTATTTCTACGCTTCAGGTAGAAATAATGGAAATATCCCACGGTCAAGATTACAATCAAGATGAGCACTATGACCACCACGATTACAACTGTTTTGGAAACTATGGGGTCTTCTCCTGACACTGCAAATGAGAATGAGAGGGAGAATAACGGTGAAGAGAATCTTCAGCTGACTACTTTGTCTGACTAACAAGGCAGCTTCTTGATCTCCTAGACCAGAGCACAAGCAACTCTGAAGCAAAGAAAAAAAATCTCATTCGGAGACTTGAAGACTCTTTGTCAGTATCTGAAGAACGTAGCATGTATGGAATCTGTTTTATCTGCCAGGATTCATGCATTATGCCCTAACCCAACACAGTCCTAAAAGCAAATCTGCACTGTACTGTGTGGATGTAGGATGTTAGTTTTGTACATCATAAAATCCCAGCACTCACCAAAAATTGGCAGACTGAATGAGGAGGCTCCAGCATCCCAGTGAACTCTACAGGCGTACTTCCCCTTGGATAGGGTTGTAGTTTCATGTTTTTTATAGTGACCATTTACAATCTCAAAGAATTCAGACTTGCCGGCAGTTTTGCATTCGCTGCAAGTGCACACAGGATATCCAGGCGTGTATGACATGACTGCCACTAGAGTCATGTCTGGAGGACACAGGAAATGGGAGATAATTAGAACCAATCAGAGATAATGAAAACCAATCATAGTCAATCAGAACCAATCAGATTGCTTTTATTTGCCATGTATAAAAAGTACAAGGAGTTTGTTCTGGGGTAGCATGAGTATACAATTTAAACATACCATCAAGTCAAGAATACACAAAACAAAATACAGCCTTAAAATAAAGAGACAGAAAGAGAATATGAAAATATTGTATTAATTAATAATCAGGTACCTGACAAAAGTTTGGACACACCTTCCCATAGACTGGTTTACTGGTAATATTCCGTACATTTTAGAATAACTAAATACTATAAACAAAACAAACATGGAATTATGTACTGACCAAAAAGGTATTCAAAAAAAGAATGATTTTTTTGGGGGGTAGCTCTGTGGGTTGGAACTCATAAGGTTGATGGTTCAAATCCCTGAGTTCCACCACTGGGCCCTTAAGGCCCTTAACCCCAATCGCCCCAGGGACTGAATGACCCTACTGTCTCCTCTATGCCAGTTTCATGAGGTGCCTCCTGGGATGCTTTTCCAGCTGTCCTGAAGGAGGACCCACTCTGGATACTCACTGGCCACTTTTCCTTCACTCTCTGGTCAAACCCCTCCAAACAATTTCTGCTGTGATTAGGTCAGGTGACCAGGCTATGTGATGCGACACTCTTTCACTCTCCTTTCTAGGCAGTTTGTCCAAACGTTTGACTGATACTGTAAATAAGACAGAACTTACACTCATACACACACTCTCACACTCACACAGCTGTTTACCTATGCCAACGACTTTCTGAGGCTCAGATTTGACAGTGAACTCGCTATTGCTGCTACTCGCTTGGTTCGTGTAGGTAGCTTCACATTCGTAGTTTCCTTTGTTGGTCTTTGACATATTCTCAATCAGGTATTTCACATCTTTTTGGGGATGAGACTGCATAGCTTTACCATCTTTATAGAAAATTATGTTATTTACTGTTGGTGCACCATGTGTCACGCATTCCAGTTCTAAATTTTTTCCCAGTAATGGCAGAGCAGGGTGAGGGACAAGTTTTACCATTAGATCTGAAAGGGCGAGAACAGCACAATGAGAAACAAAGACAGAGACTGACAATTCAAATAATTATGAAGAACACAAAAACACAACACTATATGTGACAGTGAAATAATTCCCCACATACATGTCAACTGTTTTGATTGATGGAAAATCCCTTGTTCAGATAAATTCACATTAATTGTGCACTCTTCCTATAATTTCTTATTGCTTAGGCACTATCTGTGAAACTATTGACTAAATTCAACACACTAACCAGTAGGGGTGTAACGATATTACAAACCGAACCGAAATATCACGATACACCAGCCACGATACGTATCGCGAAACTCTCGTGGCGTACCGTGGTACTCTCACACCCCCTGCTGCCCATTGTTGAGGTTGACTCTAACTAATTTAACCAATTTAAACACATCTTTATTTTATCACATTTGATTAAATTGTATTAGTAATGATGAGCTTTTGTTCTAAATTTTGTTCTAAATATTATATTCTAAAGTTAGTATTAGAATTGTTTTTTTCTGACTAGTCTATATTGGAGGTATTTATTTAATTTTTGTTGTTTACTCAGGTACCCCTGACTGTACTAAAAATGTGATGGCAAAGTTAATAAAGAAAAAGTTTAGTTGTTCTTGTTATTAAGTGAATCTATTGTTCCTTAGCATTGCTGTTAAGATGACATCAACCCAAACCCCACTGCAAACAGAAACCGAACCGAACCGAACCGAGGCTCCAAAACCGTGAACCGAACCGAATCGTGCCTTTGGTGTATCGTTACAACCCTACTAACCAGAAAACCTTACACCAAACCAGCAATACATTACTGTATATATCTAAAAAGCAAATAATTCTTGCCAATCTTTGCAGGCTCTATTTAAAAATTGTATTATCGCCTTAATACAGTACACACACACTGTCATTTGAATTTACACACAAAGTACCAACTACACACTGACAGTGTAAATGAAAAGCACTTGTGGCTTTAGCTTTACCCCTGTGCAAAAAGATGCTATCATACATTTAGCAAATACACACACACAGGTATACAGTGTTTAAGCATTCAGATAAAACTGTATAACTGGTGTACAAATGGATCAATAGGAAAGTATACAAAGTGAAAGTTGAATAAATACATTTCTTACCGGTTACCATGAGTACAACAGTGCTGCTTCTCATGGTTGTGTTCTTCTTTTTACACCAATAAATATATGGTTCTGAGGTCTTCTCCATGGAGGACGTCATGAACTCCAAAGGGCCAGTTTTTGGGTAATCTTTTATTTTTACATGGTAAAAGCGCTGCTTTTTATACACATAACACATCCAATTCAGACAATCGTCCACGTAAAGGGCTAGAAGAACAGAGTCATCTTTATAGACCACTGAATGTCCAGACTGTATGACTAGGACCTCTGGAGGAAAGGAATCTGGGATATGAAAGAAGCAAGGAAAGAAGGAGATTAGATATAGTCAGGCTCAGACCTGCCAATCAAGGCGAATTTACTATTCTTATTTTCTCTTTAAATCTCATGTAGTGGTAAATACTAACTAGGTAACCATATCACCATTTACTGCAAAGATCTAAATCGACACTTTCATAAATTGAACAAGTACATGTATTGCTTGATAGATGATTATTACTAAGCAAACAAATAACATTGTACTAAATTCCCAGAAATTCCCAGAAACATTTTACAAGGATCTAAATGTAATAATAGGTTATTGTCAATTGCAGATATTTACTTACCTTTGATTTTGAGATTATATGCATCACTCTGACTTCCATGCACCTGGCACGCATATGGGCCTTGTGCACTAGTAGATTTTATGGTGAAGATATAGTTTTGTTGTGTTTGATCTGGGATTTCATTACCATTGAAAATCCACTTCACGTTGCCTCCTTCTGAGCAGGTGAGCACTATGGTGTCTCCCAAATATACAGGTAAAAATTGCTCCTTTATGGTCACTGTCGGAAAGGGAAGATGAAGACCCACAAATATATACCAGCTTCTCATTACTGGACAAACAAATTTAAACAGAAGAGAACTATACTAAGAAAATACATGCAGTATTTCATTAAGAATTATTTTAAATGTTTAATAATTCCCCAGTATTTCATATTTTAACAGCATTAATGTCATTAAAGAAGATTTTTAAAGGTATTAGTTCAGACAAAGAATTAGCTAATACCAAATATTTCCATATCAAATTCTAAAATAGAAGTAAAATTTCTACTGATATTTAATTTCACTATGTTTTCTAGCTATTATTAGTTAACTAAGTGTCAATCAGTGGAGAGGTGTCACCCCTTCTGGTTGCAGGCACTCAAGAGATAATTACAAAACACACCAGAAAATGCCCTGAAAACAACTAAAATTCTCCTGGGGCCTGAATCACGAAGCTGGATTTTTGGGTTAGAAAGATAACATGTTAGATATCACAGTACAGCCTTCATGTACAAAGGTTGGCTTAGCAAAGAAGCCCAACTGGAGGCTCAGAGAAGGCGAGCTAACATTGTCCAGAAGGTCAGTGTCATTTAGGAGTTCACAGGGCAACTAGCTAAACGATAAATCATGGCATCTTACAAATGCAACATACATCTTACAAAAAGCTACAGACTGACACCATTGATGCATATTCATATACAACTCTGGGAAAAATTAAGAGACCACATCACAATTTTTGTTTTACTCATTTCTCAATTAATGACTGTGCATCTACAGTATGCAAAATATACATTTTTTTTTTTGCAAACTCCAGCCGACTCTTCCTTGTTTCTCATTAATGAAGGGCTTCTTCCTTGCTTTATGGGTCTTCAGTCCTGCTTCTAGGAGCCTGATGTGAACTGCCCTAGCAGTGCACTTCACACACAAAAATGGAGTGGTCTCTTGTCTTGTATATATTATATATTCATTTTCATTGCTTTCTGCCTTAGTATACTTTAGTATTCTGGGAGATTCTGTACTCTTACTGGATTGCATTTACTTGGTTTTAATATTTTTCTTNAGGCTCAGACCTGCCAATCAAGGCGAATTTACTATTCTTATTTTCTCTTTAAATCTCATGTAGTGGTAAATACTAACTAGGTAACCATATCACCATTTACTGCAAAGATCTAAATCGACACTTTCATAAATTGAACAAGTACATGTATTGCTTGATAGATGATTATTACTAAGCAAACAAATAACATTGTACTAAATTCCCAGAAATTCCCAGAAACATTTTACAAGGATCTAAATGTAATAATAGGTTATTGTCAATTGCAGATATTTACTTACCTTTGATTTTGAGATTATATGCATCACTCTGACTTCCATGCACCTGGCACGCATATGGGCCTTGTGCACTAGTAGATTTTATGGTGAAGATATAGTTTTGTTGTGTTTGATCTGGGATTTCATTACCATTGAAAATCCACTTCACGTTGCCTCCTTCTGAGCAGGTGAGCACTATGGTGTCTCCCAAATATACAGGTAAAAATTGCTCCTTTATGGTCACTGTCGGAAAGGGAAGATGAAGACCCACAAATATATACCAGCTTCTCATTACTGGACAAACAAATTTAAACAGAAGAGAACTATACTAAGAAAATACATGCAGTATTTCATTAAGAATTATTTTAAATGTTTAATAATTCCCCAGTATTTCATATTTTAACAGCATTAATGTCATTAAAGAAGATTTTTAAAGGTATTAGTTCAGACAAAGAATTAGCTAATACCAAATATTTCCATATCAAATTCTAAAATAGAAGTAAAATTTCTACTGATATTTAATTTCACTATGTTTTCTAGCTATTATTAGTTAACTAAGTGTCAATCAGTGGAGAGGTGTCACCCCTTCTGGTTGCAGGCACTCAAGAGATAATTACAAAACACACCAGAAAATGCCCTGAAAACAACTAAAATTCTCCTGGGGCCTGAATCACGAAGCTGGATTTTTGGGTTAGAAAGATAACATGTTAGATATCACAGTACAGCCTTCATGTACAAAGGTTGGCTTAGCAAAGAAGCCCAACTGGAGGCTCAGAGAAGGCGAGCTAACATTGTCCAGAAGGTCAGTGTCATTTAGGAGTTCACAGGGCAACTAGCTAAACGATAAATCATGGCATCTTACAAATGCAACATACATCTTACAAAAAGCTACAGACTGACACCATTGATGCATATTCATATACAACTCTGGGAAAAATTAAGAGACCACATCACAATTTTTGTTTTACTCATTTCTCAATTAATGACTGTGCATCTACAGTATGCAAAATATACATTTTTTTTTTTGCAAACTCCAGCCGACTCTTCCTTGTTTCTCATTAATGAAGGGCTTCTTCCTTGCTTTATGGGTCTTCAGTCCTGCTTCTAGGAGCCTGATGTGAACTGCCCTAGCAGTGCACTTCACACACAAAAATGGAGTGGTCTCTTGTCTTGTATATATTATATATTCATTTTCATTGCTTTCTGCCTTAGTATACTTTAGTATTCTGGGAGATTCTGTACTCTTACTGGATTGCATTTACTTGGTTTTAATATTTTTCTTGGATGTGAAGGAAGACTAAGGGAAGACTGCTTTCTGGAATGGACACAAAATAAGTATGTATTTTTTAAATTACCTGTTGGCTTAGATTGACCCAGTGAAAATGGCAAAATAGCACCAAATGCTGTAAGAAAAAAACATCACAACATTACAACATTGCAATTAACCTCACAAATTGAGTTAACTCATGCAAAGTGCTGTTATCAATTCTGTGCACAAAATAAAACATTCCTTTTGATTTCTGTGCACAAAAGAAAGTGAAGTCTTTTTGCTTTCGTAGACAGAATGCAGAATGTACAGGGACCGGATCGCCCACAACAGTGGGCCCCGGACCCCATACTCTCGAAGCACCCCCCACAGAGCACCTCGGGGAACCCGGTCGTAAGCCTTTTCCAAATCCACAAAACACATGTAGACTGGATAGGCAAACTCCCAGGCCCCCTCCAGTACCCTTGCAAGGGTATAAAGCTGGTCCAGTATTCCACGACCAGGACGAAAACCACATTGTTCCTCCTGAATCCGAGATTCGACTATCGATCTCACCCTACCCTCCAGTACCCCGGAATAGACTTTCCCAGGGAGGCTGAGACGTGTGATCCCCCTGTAGTTGGAACACACCCTCCGGTCCCCTTTCTTAAATAAGGGGACCACCACCCCGGTCTGCCAATCCAGCGGCACTGTCCCTGGCCTCCACGCACTGTTGAGAAGGCGTGTCAGCCACGACAGCCCCACAACATCTAGAGCCTTCAGGTACTCCGGGCGGATCTCGTCCACCCCCGGG